TTTTTACTCTCCTTTCACAAGGGTATAAACTATCAAGACAAATGAGGGGCATTTTCTCCCCTGACCTGTTCATATTTGTTTAATATCTACCTAGAAGAATTCCTGGTACATAGTAGGCATTTAAAAATATTTGGAGAGTAAACCAATAGAAATGTTTGTATTCACATAGAAAATTTATAGACAATTATACCGGGAGTAGAGGTCACTTACGGGGAATGGGACCAGGGATGTCAGGAGCCTGATGGCACAGGGTTGTGGGTAAGGAGAGAAGCAGTGGACTCGGAATAGCTGTCGACCAGGTTTTATGTTCAAAAGATGCTTTTACTGCTAACTATGGTTCTTATTTGGCCAACCATCTTCTCTTGTCTTTTCAGATTTTTTTTGACCTTTGCATTTAATGTTTCTATCAATCATATTTAACATACTATATTATCTCTACCCATTCCTATGCTAAAGTTGTTGTTATAATATGACTCTAGAAACCATAATGGCAGTAGCTGTCTCTGCTGTCATCCTCTGCCCCTCTCTGAACATCTCTGTTTATCTGTACTCTGGTGTGTAGAAGATGGATATGCTCGATAACCCCTGATTTCAAAACCCTCATTCCACCCCTATCCTGAGAAAAAGTAATCATCACAGAATCCCAATTCCAAATTATTTAGAAAGGCAGTTGGGAAGATTCCCTGGGAATCTTCACGTTGGGAAACACATCACGTTGGGAAACACATTAATATCTGTGTCTAACTGTAGCCAAAGGGTTAGAGACATACACAAAACCACGGTTTTAGGATCCCCCCCCATGAATGCAGAGAGTCATTCTTAGAAAAAGGGATCAACATGACTTAGGCAGAGAGCCTACACTTTCTAGTTTATTTTGTCAATGTTTTTAATAGCAAAACTCCTTAAAATTACTTACAACTGCAATGTTTAAATAAATTAATTTAAGTAAATCTGAGCGACTTATTATACATTATGCTTGCTGCAAATAAAAAGCTGAGTAGATTCCATTAATTCATTCTATAGAGAACATGGTCTTACTTGCTGCCCATTATAAATATACCTGGAGATTAAGAGGGTGGCATAAATATCCCTTTATTCCTCCCCTGTGGTCCTTTTTAGTATATATGAAACTTTTTTCCTTTGGGTATCTTTTTCTCCCTATTGGATTATCTGTATTTTTTCTATTCCCTTTTTACTCAGAATCCAAGCTCCATTCTGCCATAAGCTTCTGCACCCAGTGGTCATAGCCTCCCTATGGCTTCATAAATGTCAGTACTCACAGGTCCCATTGTTCTGAATCCTTACTATTTTTTTTAGAAAGCAGCACATGTAAGACAAGCATTCACTCTCTTCTGCTGATACTGATTGTCTCTTAGAAGCTTACTATATTATTTCTTAAGGATCCCTCTGGAACCACAGGAGTCACTGAGAAGGACAATAGGAGTAAACCCTGTGATCGCGGTGATTTTACGAAAGCTAGTGAGCACAAACAGAAACTATATAAAAATATCTACTGCATCTTGCCCTCATATTACCATTACCATTACCTTATTTTAAAAAATACAAAACCTTTGACTGGAGAATGTTTTGATTGCCATTTTCACTAATTTGTTTTAAGCCAAAATATCTACAATCCTGTGAGATCAGGAGAGTGTAGTTTAATAAGCATTGGACTATATGTTAAGGTTCTACATCTGGAACTTGTCACTAAGTCAAAATATCTAGGAAAATTCTCTCTGAGCCTCAGTTCACTTTTTTACTTTTCTGTACTATGTCCCTAATAATATCTGCCCTACTTAATTTGCAAAGATACCATATCATCAACAAATTTTATGATAAAATTCTCTGTAATTTATAAAATGCACCGTACAGTGTTCCCTAAAATGTGCCCCTATTCACTCTGTTTTGTAATGCCCAACAGTAGGGTGTTCTCAGCTCAATTACTAATTAATTACTAATCTAAAGGTCTATGATCTCCAAACCTTTCAACAAAGCAATAGATTTAATTATTACATTCAAGCACTTATAATCTTCCTAATAATGAGATACATCTTCAGCTAAGATATTCCTTTCATGATTCATAAAACATGAATGAACATTTTTCTTAAGTTCCTCTCATGATTGGGGTTAATGTGTCTTTACCAAAAAAGTGTGCAGCTTTCAACGTCTTTTCACTGGAACGTCTAATGTCATATCAGAGAATAAACCATAGCTTTGGAGAAACGCTACTGTCAACCCTGGAGCGAGTGAGATCTGACCAATGAAGGGTAAAACATAGCAGTTTATTTACAACAACCAAAACTATTTTTTAAATTTTACTTTGAGAGAGGCCCTGTTATAAAATATGATTTTGTCATGATGCCACAAACAGGAACAATAAAGGAAAACACTGAGAGGTGTGACCATGTACAGATCTAAACATCTCTATTAGTCAGAGTTCCCCAGAGAAATAGAATCAGTAAGATGTATTTACATATAGATAAGGAAACTTATTATAAGGAATTCCCTCATGAGATTATGGAGGCAAGCAAGTCCCACAATCTACAGGGTGATCTAACAAGCAGGAGACCAGGAGAGGCAATGGTTCAGTTCCAGTCTAAAGGCCAGCAGACCCAAGACCTGGGAAGAGCCAATGTTTCAGTTAAAAGGCAATCAGGCAGGACGAATTTTCTATAACTTGGGTAAAGGTCAGCATTTTTCTTCTATTCAGGCCTTCAACTCTGATTGATTTCACACTAGAAAGGACAATCTACTTCACCCAGTCTCCCAACTTAAATGTTAATCTTAACCAAAAAACACCCTCACAGAAACACCCAGAACAACGTTTGACCAAATAGCTTGGTGCCCTGAGCCCAGTCAAGTTGACATATAAAATTAGCCATCACAAGATCTAAAATATCTGAAAGTTAAAGGCAATCCATAAACAAAATGGAAATGCAAAGGGTAAAATAAAAACATGGCAATGTATAAAACAGACAGATAGTATTAATACATAAAAAGTATTCTGTATTAGTCAGGGTTTTCTGGAGAGACAAAACCAATTGGAGCATGGATATAGATATAAATATATATCTTAGATATAGATATATGAGGGAGGATTTATTATGGGAATTTGTCATGTGATTATGGGGGCTGGGGAGTCCCAGGGTAGACTCTCTGCAAGTTGGAGACCCTGGGATGCTATTAGTGTGGCTCAGCTCAAGTCTAAAAGCTGCAAAACCAAAGGCCTGAGAACTTGGGGAATGGTAAGGGGGTTGGCACTGGTGTAAGGTCTGGAGTTCCAAAGGCAAATAGCCTGGAGTTCTGATGCCCAAGGGCAGGGAGAGGACAGTGTCCCAGCTCCAGGAGCATGAGAAAGGAAATCCTTTTCTCTCCTTTTTGTTCTATCTGGGCCCCTACGCAACTGAATGGTGCCCACCCACATTGAGAGGGGATCTTCCCCAATTAGTCCACTGAGTCACATGCCAATGTTCTTTGGAAGCACTCTCCCAAACACACCAGAAGTAATGCTTCACCAATTCGCTAGGCAATCCTTAATCCAGTCAAGGAGACACCCAAGATTAGACATCATATGTGCTTTCAAAAGAAGAAAAAAAGTAGAAAGCAAGCAAAGAATATTAGTCAAAAATTCACAAAATAAAAAATATGAATGATCAACACATATCAGGTAAAAACCTTAATGCCACTTAGCTAACAAGAAAATACACATTAAAACAAAAGTATTTGGAAATTGGTGATACCTATACTTCACAAATATATTGGAGAAATGGGCAGTCAGTCTCATTGTCTGTAGGAAACAACTTTTTAATAAGATTCCTGGAAGGTCATTTGGTAATATGCATTAATACCTTTAAGATGACAGTTTTAAGAATTTCTCTTAAGGAAATTAGTAAATATAGACTTAAAAAAATTAGATACAACACTGTTAAAGGACTATGGCATTATAATAAAAATAAGAAATGGTGGGGGGGGAGTATTCAGTAATAGAGGACTGGGTAACTAATAAACTATGGTTTATCCAGTTGATGGAATACTTAAGCAGCAATTTAGAATGAGGTTGTTGAGGTGGAAAGCTGTTCGCAATATATTATATAAAAAAAACAAAACAGGTCACAAAAATCATGCATACTTTTATCATATATGCACACATGCATGTGTGTGTGCTTGTATCTGACAGGTTAGTTGCCAAAACCACAATTGTATCTCTGTATAGGTGATGGAATTATAAGTACTTTAATTTTTATCATTTTGCTTTGATAAATACAATAAACACCTCTTGCATTTTGGAATTTTTGTCATATAAGAAATCTATAAAATAAGTTACCTTGTGATTTGATCTACATTACAGACACTTGATATTGCATATGAAATAGCCCACCTTTTTCAGCTCCCACTTTATGTGTTAAAATTACAGAGCACCCACATTTGTGTTACTGTAGAAATTGGTTAGGTTATTAGTCGACATTTATTATGTGAGAACCGTGTACTTGACTCTAAACAGAACGTAAAGATGTGGAGGGGAATGGAGTTGAACAAGAAGCCCGAGGGAACTGTGGTGTGGATGGCTCTTTGGCAGAAGCTCTTCTAATGGGCTGGAATCGGTGGCATGTTTACTGCATTACTCCCAACAAATGGTTCTGGACAGTCCCAAGGGGCCCCTTAGGTTTCAGTTGGCAAGTAGGAGCAAAGAGACACGAGTAGGTGGTGAGGCAACTTAAGGCCACTGCCTGTGTCCTCTTAAGAAAACTGGAATCAAGGTCCTGTGCAAGGTGGAAGCTGGTATAAGCTGCTAAAATGTTGACTAGTTTCTCTACCAATGCAGCATTTTCTATTGCAGGCTGAGCATTCATAAATGCTAGAAACTGTCTCAGAAGTAACAAGAGAAGAGGCTTCTCTTGTTTATGTTTTCTAGTAGAATAAAAACTAGTTTATGTTTTCTAGTAGAATGAAATCCTATCTTGATTATGAGATCTAATCTAATTAGAGGTTTCTTCTCTCAGGGCTAATGGAAAGTGCAGTGGTTAGAGACTAAAGCAAAAAATGAAGACTGGAGACTCGTCACAATCTGGAATCCCACCCAGGTATGACAGGTATGTTCTTTTTCTTTTCCTGTTTCTCATGGAGGCCTATCCATACTCTTAATCTCTGTTTCCAGGTCCCTTTTGCTCTTTACACACATGAAGACTAACAAGATCCTGTGATTCTACATCAGCAATTTACCAAGTATGGTCCCTGCTCCAGCAGCATGGCAACACCTAGAAACTTTTGGGAAATACAGATTCATAGGCCCCACCCCAAACATACTAAATCAGGATTTCTGGGGTTTCAGCCCAACAATCTGTGTTTTAATAAACCCTCCAGGTGATTCTGATGCATACTCAAGTTTGCAAATCACTGGTCTAGATGATGAAACTTTCAAAGGTCTCTGGATAAAAGTGAAAAAAAAAAAAAAAATAAAAAAATCAAAAAAACACACAAAATATACACCAAAAAAGACACCGCATTTAAAAAAGGGGGGGACACAATATCACACCCCAGAGCAAAACATTTTTAAAAATAAAAAAATAACATATAAAAAAAAAAAAAATTACACACACACTGTATGTGCACACACACACCACATAAAAGAAAAAATACAAAAAACTATATATGTATAGAATACACACACAGGAGATCCGACAACAGCACAAGGGATAGGCACACACACTATACCCCCACAGAGGAAAAAACCATAAAACTTGAGACCCCAAAAAAACAAAAACAAAAAGCCCACACCGCACACGCAAAACCATAAAAAAAACAAAAAAAAGAGAAAAACACATATTGTATATAATACACATAAGATACACTATATTCTCACAATAAAGTAAGATAGAAAAATGAAAATGTTTAAGAAAATTATAAGGAAGAGAAAATACATTTATAGTACTGTATTTACAGATCCGGTAAATTTACATCATCTGTCTGCAAAATGAATCATTGGTCTGAAAAGGCAACCACAGCTGCAGACCTCAATCAATGGTCCATATCAAGCAATTCAATATTTTCTTGTGATATCACAACTTTTCTCTGCTTCTTCAGAGAACTTCCAGCATCACTAGTGGTACTCCATATGGGTGTCCTGGTTGTTATTCAAAGTTTATGGTATTGTGCTAAACATGATGAAAAATACACATAAACCACACAAGATCACTTTTTATTGCGATCCACAATCTACGGGAGAGACAAACTGCTCCTACAAAGTTGATTAGTGTCACATGGCGATTTAACAGGATAATCACAACATTTGAGCTCACTGCAATAGCAATGAGAGGTGGCTATGAAATTATTACAGTAGTACAGTATGTACTATAGTTAATTTCATGCAGTTATGATTTAATACTGCATCTTTACCTGTGTTTACCATTTCTCTTGTCTAAAAATGATGCCATGTTTGGTCTGTGTTTGTGTGTGTAAATTTTGACAAATTTTAACTTTTATAATCGATCTGTGTATATTTTATGATGATAAATGATAAGATAGACTAGTATCTACATATATTTTATGCAATCATAACATACCTAACTTTTTCTTAATTTTTTCATTATATCTAGGCTATGAGGTTTGTTTTCGAGTTTTTTCAAATTGTTGCAAATCTCCAAAAATTTTTTCAATGTATTTGTTGAATAATAATCCTCATAGAAGTGGACCTGCACAGTTCAAACCTGTGCTGTTCAAAGGTCACAGTATACATATATATATATGGAGTTTCTATTTTTAAAAATAAAAGAATGCTTATAATATTGTCATCCATGTCTATATGTCTATTCTGAGGTTCCTTATTTGTTAAGATGGGGTCATTAAGAAGACAAAGATCAATGGTAAGACACTTTCATGCTCCTAGAGGGTACTTCCAACCATTTCTCCTTTCTCAGATGTCCAGTGCTCTATTTCCTGTCCTCATGCAGCTGATAACCTTCCTATTTCCCTCAGAAATACCCCAAGAATCTGCCAGAAGGGTTAGAAGTGAACAACCCATGGATCAGCCAGCCTGGGCCTGGCTGGACCTCACGCTCTGATTTCCCTTCTATTATGGGCTGAATCTTGTCCCTGTGATTCACCCACTTGTGTCCTCCTGCCTGCACCATTAATCCCTCTCTATTGAGTCGTTCCCGTTAACACACGAGCAAGCTGTATTAACCATCTTAAAAACAAACAAACAAACAAAAAACCTTCTTTTACCCCATATCCCATATTCCTCCCTAGCTATTGCTCCATTTCTCCTGCTTTATGACAGAATTCTTCAGAAGAGTTCCTTACTCATATTCACTATCTCCCCTTCCTCTCTTCACATTCTAGTTTGAATTCACTCTAGAGCAGCTTTCATCCCAGCCACTCCCCCAAAACTGTGCTTCTCAGTCACCAATGACCTCCACTTTCCAGACAAAAATGGGGTTTTCCCCACCCTTAGATTACTCGAACACTCACATTTGACATAGTTACTCACTCTCTGTATCTTGGAATATTTTTCTTTGCGTGGCTTCTGCTCACTTTCTCTCAGTTTTCCTTCTACTTCAGTCACCATTCCTTCTTAGCCCCCTTTGCTGGATCAGTTTTATCTTCCCCCAACCTCCAAGCACTGAGCCCAGAATTAATCCTTCAACCTCTTTTCCTCTCCATCTATTGCCAGAGGAGGACTCACAAAGCCAGTGTGGTGGCTTTGAGTACAAAGATGAACCAAATCCACAACTCTAGTCTTAACGAGAGATTATGAAGACACTGAATATTCTGATCATAAAAATATTATCCTTGATTTTCTTTGCACTTTGTATAATTAGTGGAACCTTCTTCTTCTTCTTCATTTTCCTTTACAGTTTCCTTCTCTCCACCTCCTCTCACCCTCCGTCCCTCTCCATCGGCTCTGAATGTGCTGTTACCTCCCAGGGCACCAAGATTACCTACCCCAGCCACATGTCAGATTCCTGGTTGTCGAGCTATTTTACAACATTTTTTTCTCTTTTGCCAACACCCCAGTCTATCATCACTGCAGGCCACTCAACTCTGCTTGCCACGCCTACACCTCCTCACCTCACACCTGAATCCTGGCCATCTCAGAACCACCCCCAACCTGCTCCCTTAATGTCATCCAAATGCGACAGGAAGAGTTTTCATTATCTCAGTCTATGCTCTGCCATTTGGGTAATAAACAGTCTTTTCAACCTAATTAATGACCAGTTCCTCCCTGTCATGCTAGCTAGTCTATTCCTCAGTGTCCCTCGTTCTGTCTCCTCTCGAACCGTCTCCAATGAGTTTGGACACACTTTGTCATCTCTAACAGGTTGTGCTGGTCCTCGCCTCTGTGCCTTCGTGGATATTAGTTTCTCACCTCCTTTGAATTTAAAGAAATAATGAATTCCTTTTGGAAGGCTTTGATTGGTTTCGTCTACCTCCGATCATGGATGAGCAGAACATCTGAGCTATAAGCATGTTTCTCCATTCTGTGCTCTCATGGAGACAGCAGGGCTCTGCTGCTGCACCGTTCTTGAGACAGGAGGTTTTTGCTGAGGCTGACAACCCCATGCTAGAGCCCCACCTCCCTGAATGCCCCCCAACACTGCTGCAGCCCTCGCCCTGCTCCTCCTCGCTCTATCCTCTGCAAGCCCTGAGCTTTCCAATGAGCTTTGGCTTTTGGAAACACAAACCAGAAAGTAGTCTGCCTTACACCCTGCCAAGGGCCAAGCCCTGAGCTGCCTATCTGCTTAAGCCACAGGAAGGGAAAGGAGAAAGTTAGAAAAAAAAAATCAATATTAGATAGTTTCAAAGATATTAACTTTTGCTGAAAAAATATACCTGTGTGAGATCTCATAGTACAAAATCATGCCCAAAGGTATTCGACGTGGATACACAATGGAGGGTTTATTTTATTTCACTTCAGATAGATATAATCTGGCTCCCATAAATCTTATATGACATTATGGGAAATTTACCCATTTGTACTTGGCCTGAGATCTTAGACTTTGAAAAGATAAGAAGCATCTCCCACTATAAGCTGAGGAATACATGTAAGAATTAATTTGTCATAATCTCTTTATATTTATGACATGAAGGATAAGAAAAAATAGAGTGAGCATTTGACACAGCTGACGGTTAAACTTTGCCCTTAAAATTGACAGGAAATCTATCTTGGAATAGGTGACAATTGTGCCTGGGGAACCAGATAGCCTGAGGACAGGCACTGATGTGTACAAGAGAAAATAATACAGAGGAAGAAAAGCTTATCTGGAATGTGGGCAGGATTGCAGCCTTTTGTGGAAGGCAGAAGGCCCACCACTGGAGTGAAGTGGTAAAACAAATTCTTTCTTTTTACCCTAGTTTCCAATTCTGAAAATATTTTTTAAGTACTTTCATGCTTATGCTTTTGTAGTCTTTGTAAAATCAAGAATACTTTGCTTCTCTATGGTAATCACATATGTGGAAGGAACAGCTTTAGGCCCTAGAAGTTCCATACCTATTACTTTTCAATACATTAATGGTTGGCAGGCAGACTCATGGATTCATTCTTTCTTCATTGACCTTAGGGGGGTTAATTGATGCTCATTTTTTTTAAAACATGTATTGAACCTTTTGCCACTATGTCTGAATTTTTACTTTGAACTGAGTCAAGTTGCTTTTCCAGCTACTTAAATACATTTTGGTATAAGACAGATTTTGTTTTTTAAGGGCATTCACAAATTAGGAGGCAAATATTCTGGTTTCTTTTGTTTTTGTTGTTACTTTTGTTTATCTCCTGGAGTGTGGAAAACATGAATGGAATATAAAAATACAGAATTTTAAAGCTGAAAGAAACATCCCAATCCATAGCATTTTCCCCCCATGTACAGACATTAAGGCCCAGAGTAGGTACTTGGTTGAAGGTTAAACATATTGTTAATGATAAAATTGGGAATAGAAAGCAGATCATCTATATGTTCCTCAAGGACGAGCCTCTATCTTATTTACTACCCTATCACCAGGCCCTAGTACTGAGAATGTATAGGAAATAAGAGAGACACCATAAATATTTGCAGAATAAGTGAAAAAAAGAATGTACAAATCTGGCAGCTAAAGCTAC